AGAAAAACAAAGATAACTTCTAGTATTCTCCCTATTTAACGCTATCTTCGCTGCTGTTTGCTAGACTAATTAGGGACTTTTATTTTATCAAATGTTTATCGCGTATTGCGCTGATTGCAGGCGAAGCAGGAGGAGGATAGCTTGGGCGCGGATCGCTTGAAGAAAGGCTACCAAGTTGCCGTGACATCTTACGAGCATGACTCAATCGTTTGGAATGTTAAGGTAAGAGGGCATTTCGCTCCTCAGAGAATGGGTTTTTGACCAAATTTGCAATTTTGCCAGAATTAGCTGTTAATCCTGTATCATAAAGAAATTATTTAAACTACAAATACATTGGCATAAATTCGTAACTTTATTAGTGCTCCCACACTAGTAATTATGGTCCTAGAAGTTCCTTCTACCCAAGTCATGATGAAATAAATTGGCTTGTAAACAAATTGACTGGAGCTTTTCTTTACTCAGGGATGTATAAAATTGAAATGACTAAGGCAAGCCTCATTTCTCTGAAAAAACCAACCAGTAAAATAGTGCTGAACCCGGTCAGTAATCTTTTCGGATTTTTTAGCTTTAGTTTTTTTATGCATTTTTGCCGTACCGGGCTAAAGCGCTGCTACAGCGAACAAAAACGCATATTGCGATGACCCTTGATGTACATGTGTGCGTGTAACTCGGCAACCACGCAAGCTCCGGAGCCAAAATTTTGCCTGCGGGTTCCCCGGCAAAGTGCCACCCAAGGACCTTGGTAACAACCCTCACTCACTTCTGGGCCTCGCATATGACCACGTGAAAGTTTTAGCGAGAAAATGACTAACTCTGGAATCAGAAAAGATGGAAGGTTGAAATTTTGAGACGATGTTCCCAGCCCATGTACAACTTAAAGAATTTGAATTCTGCCCCCAGGTGTGCTTGCTTCCCAGTTATAGTCCCGTGAAATTTTTGGCGGAAAAATTCACTAACCGGGGAATCGGAAAAGCTTGAGAGCTGAAATTTTAATGATATGTTCCCTGTCCACTTAGAATACGAAGATTAGAAATTCAGTCCCTCCGGCATGCGTGGTTCTCACGTGTGGTTCCGCGAGAATGCTAACTCGGGAACCAGAAAAGCTGGGAAGCTGAAATTTTAGCGGAATGTTCCCTTTCTAAGTGCAGATGGTTAGTGGTTGTACAATCAGTTTTCTGAAGTTCGAGGAGCAGTATGTCATGAATTCTAGCCATTGTGATTCCAAGCGATCTTACAACAACGCGAGATACTGCAAAAACGCATGATCGCACAGGCCCGCTCGGTACGCATTGCCAATGATTGAATGCTCAAACTTTTATCATATTTTGTACAAGAAATTACAGTAGTCAGTTAAGTACATCGAATTATCCAAACAAATTTGCCCGTATTGTTGGAAACGTATTGTAAAGCAACGATTGTTGAAATCTTTGGGTGATTTGCTTAGGAACGCTTCTGTCACTGCATTGAATAGCCTCTCCTCTCAGATTTTCCTCAAATAATTGAGTTGAATTTGCCTTTTTTTACAAATTTCTCTGCGCACATTAAATGCCTGACATTGATGTTGTTTGGTGTTTGAGCTGTTTAGATGCCTCGGTTGGATCGTCTGGACGATACGATGTTACGTGGGGCGCAGATAGTGATGCAGGTGATGGCCAAGAAGATGGAGCTGAATGCAAATCTTGACAGGGAGAGAAAACGTGGTGCAAGCGGCTCAGCTAAGGACGGCGGCGGTGCAGTTGGTTCGGCTAGTGGCGCTCAGGCACTATTCCAGCAATTTGCTCATAATCTGGTTTGTCCTTCCGCTTTCTGCTTACGTATTTATTTCGAATCTTCAACTGGCTGCTGCTGCTGCTGCTGCTTCATCACTCTTCACCGCACCAACATGGCTCACCGCGAGGGTCCACGCACAAATGTATAATAGAAAAGTATCCAGAAGAATGGGAGAGAAAATAATATTAAAGAAATCAGTAAAAATAGTAAAATTATTTTAATAAAATTACTGCAATGGTAAGAAATGTTTCGGTCCATTAAGTGATATACATTTCTTACCATTACCACAATTGGATCTCCTCAGTACGACGACTGTGGTTATTGTAATTGATATGAATTAAGCTTAAATTGATTTTATGAAGTATGCTAGTAAAAGTGTAGAAAGTTTATGTTAGTAGAAGTAGAAAGTATTGTAGATGATGAATAGTAATATGTAAAGTAGAATTTTACCGAAGTTAAATTTATTCGAATATCTGTGGATGCGGCAGTAAAGTGGAAACGTTATTAGATCTCATATCTGTGGCGGTAAATTCGGCGATCTGCTTCATTTGCGTGCTCAGTTACTCGCATCAGCGTAATCTTTGTATTTCTGTTAGGCCCAGCATTTCCTGGCCACCCGACAAAATGGGTTCATTAATAATTATATTACGAATAAAATAGCAGAAACTTGCCACTGTACAGCCATGTTTTCGTACAGAACAAAATGTATCAGATGTGA